ACCCTGAGCAAGACACACCAGCCAAGTATCTAAGGCAGAATTCTCTGGATCATCTCACAGCAGCCACATCCAGTATTTCCTTCCAGCTGTGGATGATCCCTGATGCTTCAGAGGAAGGTGACCCCACCTTTGCTGCCTCAATCCATCTGGCCAGCTGTGTATGGGGGGGAAAACATTCTTCCTGACCCTGCAGGAGCTGCGGCCCTGAAGCATGACATATGATTATAGTCATTGTCATTATAGTCATAGTCCCAGTGCAGAGCTGCAAGTGTTCTGAGCGGTGTGGCACTGACTCCCTGGTCCCCTGGTCTGTGGCCCTTTTCAGCCGGGGTCCCAGCAGGCCCAAGGAGTCAGAGACAAGGCTGAGAAACTTACTTTCAGGTTTTGATCCCTTCAGGATGCGCTCATACCCCCTGCCTGCTCCCCACGTGAGGCCCAGCTATGCTGGGCAAGGCCCAATGGCCATCCAGCATCGGTCCTAGTGACAATGGATAGTCACTGGGCCAGGGAGAGCATCAGGGCTGCCCAGAGGGGGAGGCAAGTGGGGCAATTTGCCCCAGGCCCCCACGAGAGTTTTTCAGGGCCCCTGGAGCGGGGTCCTTCACAGCCCACAGCTGCACCAGCCCCTGGTACCACATGAAGACTGGGCAGATCTGGCTGGGCAGAGGGGTCTGGCTTTGGGCTGTACAGGGGGCCCTGGGCTGGGTTGCGCCAGGCTGGCTGTGCAAGGGATCTGGGCTGGGCTGCCTGGGCAGAGGGCTATGCCCTGGGCGGGGGTAGCTGTGCAGAGCACTCTGGGCCAGGCAAGCTGGCTGTGGAGGTGAGCATGGTTTTAGAGATAGGGTTGCCAGGCGTCTGGTTTTTGCCTGGAACGCCCGGTCAAAAGGGGAATCTGGTGGCTCCGGTCGGCACTGCTGACCAGGCTGTTAAAAGTCCAGGTGCCAGCACAGCGGGGCCTGGGGCTAAGGTGGGCTCCCTGCCTGTCCTGGCTCTGCATGGCTCCCGGAAGCAGCTGCTAGATCCTTGCAGCCCCAGGCGCATGGGTGGCCAGGGAGGCTCCGCGCGCTGCCCCCGCCCCGAGTGCCAGCTCCGCAGCTCCCATTGGCTGGGAACCGATGGGCGCTGTGGGGGCGGTGACTGCAAGCATGAGGGCAGCGCACGGAGCCTCTCTAGTCACCTAGGGGCTGCAGGGACCTGGCGGCCACTTCCTGGGAGCCGTGGTAAGCACCACCAGGACCCTGAACCATCTCCCGCGCCCCATCCCCCTGCCCCAGCCCAGTGAAAGTGAGTGAGGGTGGGGGAGAGCGAGTGATGGAGGGAGGGGGATGGAGCAAGCAGGGGCGGGGCCTCGGAGAAGGGGTGGGGCAGGGGTGGGGTCTCGAGGAAGGGGTGTTCGGTTTTGTGCGATTAGAAAGTTGGCAACCCTACTTGGAGGGAGGGGGAGAATCCAATGTGATGCTGGTTTTGGGAGGGGTGAATTCCGGTGTGACGCTGGTGTGGGTGTGGGTGTGAAACTGACGTCTCATAGACTCTAAGGGCTCAATGAACCATCAAGTTCATCTAGTTCTGACCTCCTGCACATCAAAGGCCACAGAACCTCACCCACCCACTCCAGTAACAGACCCCCGACCTCTGGCTGAGTTACTGACATCCTCAAATGTTGGTTTAAAGAATTCAAGTTGCAGAGAATCCACCCTTTGCTCTAGTTCAAAACAGCAAGTGACCCATGCCCCATGCTGCAGAGGAAGGGGAAAACGCCCCAGGGTCTCTGCAAATCTGACCAAGGGGAAAATTCCTTCCCGGTGTCAGATATGGCGATCGGTTAGACCCTGAGCATGTGGGTGAGACCCACCAGCCAGACCCCTGGGAAAGAATTCTCTGTCGTAACTCAGAGCCCTCCCCACCTAGTGCCCAGTCACTGGCCGCTGGGGGTATTGGGCCATATGCCATTGCAGGCAGTCCCATCATAACATCCCCTCCAGACACTTACCAAGCTCAGACACTTCTCCCCTTGGGAGGCTGTTCCAGAACTTCACTCCTCTGATGGTTAGAAACCTTTGCCTAATTTCAAGGCTAACCTTGTTGATGGTCAGGAGAGCTGGGGGTGCTGCCGCACCCCCTGGCTTGAAGTAGTAATAACAACCAAAATACATGGTTTCTGCCTTCAGCACTCCCCGCTGAAAAAGTTTCTCCAGCACCCTGGCAAAGAGTTGGCTTTCTTTGCTGATCCATCCCTTGTAGGCTTTCTGCTTTCGCTCACTAGCCTGTTTGAGATGCTTGTTCATCCAGCTTGGCCTGCAACCCTCCCTACAAATGTTTCCCTTGCTTGGGATGCCGACTTCACATATGGACTTAAATTAATTCCAAGCCTCCTCCACATTCAGATCCTTGAGTTCCTCAGGCCAGTCCACTTCCATAATAAGTCCCTTAATTTTGTAAAGTTTGCCCTTTGGAAATCAAGGACCCCAGTTGCAGACCTATTTTTGCTTATCCTTCTGTTTAGTTTAAACTGAATTAACTCATGCTCCCTCGAACAAAGGTTGTCCTCTACAACCAGTTCTTCCATGCGGTCCTTGCTTCTTACCAGCACTAGATCTAAAATGGCATCACTTCTTGTTGGTTCAGCGACTATTTGGTGAAGAAATCTGTCAGCTATCACATCCAGGGACATCTGGGCTCTACTATTATTAGTAGCACTTGTCCTCCCTCCTATATCTGAGAAGTTAAAGGCTCCCATAATCACATAATTCCCAGTAGTATTTCTTTCATTAAAAACCTTAAAGAGGTCTCTATCCCTATCCAGATCAGATCCTGGGGGTCTGTAGCACAACCCGAGCATTGCCCCAGGCGAGTCTCTGTTACCTTCCTTCCCCAAAGTGATTTTGACCCGAACAGAGGGTCCTGTGCAAGAAGATGCAAGAAGTGAGGTTCTTACCCACGAAAGCTTATGCTCCCAATACTTCTGTTAGTCTTAAAGGTGCCACAGGACCCTCTGTTGCTTTTTACAGACTCAGACTAACACGGCTACCCCTCTGATATTTGACCCAAACAGATTCCCTTTTATCCATTCCATCACCTCTAATTTCTTTACACTCCACCTCATCATTAACATACAATGCTGCTCCACCACCTTTACCTTTATTTCTGTCTTTGAAGAGCACAGAGCCTTCAATACCCGCGCTCCTGCCATAACCGCTCTACCACCATGTTTCTGTTATCCCTGTAATAGCTGGTTTCACTTCCTGCACCAGCCGTTCTAGCTCCTCCGTTTTGTAATCCAGGCTCCTTGCATTGATGTACAGACATCTTAGCTGTTTCTGCTTGGCTTGGCACAGATTCCTCGCCCATTAGGTACAGTCATTATACTACCAGCATCACCTAAGACTGTTAGTGTCATTGGTACTGGCTCTGTCTTTCCTCTTGTTGTCCATTCTCCTACCCCCTGCTGTTCCTGTCTCCATTTCTCTATCCTCTTTTACTTGATTTTCCACCCGCTCAGTGTTAGAATCAGGCATGGAGATTACATGAGTATCGCCCAACCGTCTCCCCCGAGTTCCTAGTTTAAAGCTCTTTTAATGAGTTGTGCCAACCTCGAGCCCAAAAGTCTATTTCCCTCCCTACTCAGATGGAGTCCATCCCATGAAAACAGGCCTCCCTCCGTGAATTGCCTCCCAGTGGTCAAACATCCCAAAGCCCTCCTTATAGCACCACAGCCTGAGCCATCTGCTGATGATCATAATCTTGTCTTGCCTTTGCTCTACTCCTCTAGGGACAGGCAGAATCCCATGGAAGATCCCCTGAGCCTCCATTCTTTAAGTGTCTTCCCCAGCCTGCTATACTCTCTCTTGAATCTAGCTGTATCATTTGTTCCCACGTGAAGGACAGTCAGTGGGTTCTTTCCTGCTCTCATCAGGATCCTCTTCAGCCTCAGGTCCCCATCCCGTATCTTAGCTCCCGGCAGACAGCACCCCCTGCTGTTCTCCGGATCAGCTCTGGTGACAGGCCCATCTGTTCTTCTTAGTAGGGAATTCCCAGTCACGGAGACCTGCCTTTTCCTAGGGATGGTGCAATTCTCCACCCTCCCGCCTTCTGTTCTTTCTGGCTGTGTCTTCTTGTCTTCTGCTCTCACTTGTGGTCCTCAGCACGTCGTCCTCTCCTGTCCTCCTGGGGCTCCGAACTCTGGATCTCTGTTGCCTCTTCCCCTCTTCTTGTAGAACTAGCCGCTCTTCTCTTCTTCCTCGCCCTCCCACCTTCTGTCACTGCCTGCTGTGCCCCTTCCTTTTCCAGCTCAGCAAACCTCTTCCTCAGCTCTACTCTTCACTAGCCAGGTCTTTTCTTCTGCCTGGATCTCATGCTTCCACTGTGCACTTACCCAATCTGGCAGGCTAACCTCGCAGCTCTCCGGTCCAGCCTGCATCTGCAAGTCTGGAGGTTTCCCTTCAGCCGCTTCCCTCCATCAGCCACTCAAATCCCCTTTGAAACACAATCAGACTTTCTAGCTGCATCTCCAGACCTTGGGTCATCTCTTCAATCAGCTGTATCTGGCAGCACTTCATCCAAAGGCAGCACCTTTCCGGTTCCCTCTCCAGAATAACATACATCCTGCAGCTTCCACATCCAGCCACCTTCATTGTCTCTGCCGTTCCTTGGGTCACTTGTACTGCTGCCTCTGGAGGAGTCAGCGCCTTCCCGCCTAAGCTCCTGTCACTGCCCTGAAGAAACAGGGGCTTGCTTCCCTTCTCCCACACACCTCCATTCAAACTCCCCTGTTTTCAGCTCTGGCTGCTGTGCCACTGCTCCGGAGTCCCTCTGCAATGCTGGCGTTGGGGTGAATCCCACATTGTGGGTGTCCGGCGTGAATCCCTGGGCCATGAATTCTGAGCTCTTCTGGTTTTTCTCTTGCAGCCCATGCCGGTGTCTGTTGGGTTTGAAGATGCGCCCGGCCCCATCCCCTCGGCTGCCCTGAAAGAGCAGGACTGAAGCATGTGATCGCTGGCACCATGGAGGTGAGGGCTCTTCCATCCCGCTGGGATCCCATTTCCTAGCCTTGGGCCTGGAGGCAGTGGCTGGGGGAGAGGGAGGCCCCCTGGAAAGGGGAACTGATGAGGGTGTGAACACAGACAGTGGGATTCCCTCACCCTGGCCAGGCAGGGGATCGGAGTTGCTGAGTTTCATGGAGCCATAGGATCTGCGCTAGGCCCCAGCTTTCAACACTGTCCAGTCCTGGAGGAACCCCTCAGTGGGCCAGAGCCCTAAGGGGTCCAATGCTTCCTTCAGGGGAGGCCACGCGGCCTCAGTGCCTGAGCCTCGGGGCTCCAGCCGTCCTGCGACACTACCTGAGCTGTGCCCAGCGAGTCCAGCTGAGGGACTCCAGGTCAGAGGCATCCTCCAGGTCAAACGTGCTCAGCAAATATTTACAGTGGCACCAGGCAGCGTTTTCAAACCAGGCAATGGTTTATTGTCACCTGGAACACAGCATTGGAGGGCTCGGGTTAGCACAGAGACAGAGGTTAAGATACAGTCCATCAGGTGAGAGCAGCCAACCGCTTCCAGAGGCCCACACTTTGTCCCCTGCTGGTCACCTCTCGTCCTTTGTCTCCAGGCAGGGCCACGCTGAGTTCACAGCCCCACCTGCCTGGGCAGTGCCTGGGGGTTCCTTTGTTTCTTTGGACCCTCTGTTGAGCTGGGTTGGTTTCAACAGTTCCTTAATGACCCTATTCACTGCAGTCCAGAGAGCAAGGTGTCACCCACACCATGTGTCCTGCACTGCCTCCTTTTCCCTCCACTGAATAGCAATGCAAACTACAGAGGGAAACTAAGGCACACGTTGGCTTCATGAAAATATTACAGAAAATTCCCACTTCGTCATATTGGACCCCTGGGTTAAAGGACCCATTCAGGCAGATTAGGGCATTGCTTTGCATCAGTCACCACTGCGTGGAGACGTTACCAGGGTGGCAATGGAGAGGCCGCCAGAGCAGTGTCGTTCTGGGGGCCCCTCCAGACAGTGTAGCTGTGACGGTCTCACCTAGGGCAGCTTCCCCCTCTCACAGCGATGGGCTCAGGCTCTCTGCAGACTCAGGCATTGGTCACTTTAGGTCCAAAATCGCAACTTTTTCCCTGACCTGGGAAATCCATTTCCAGCCCATCTCTCACCCAATCTCCAACTATTGGGAGTTAGGAGAGGGCCTTTCCTGGGTGCCCTTTATTCCTCGCTTGTCTTCCACCTCCAGTGCTCCCCTTCCCTCTTGTCCCCTGCAGGAGGTGGACTCCCGGTCGCCGTCCCCACACAAGGCAGTGGACTCCAGCCCCGCCAGCTGCGCAGCCCTGCCGTCTCCCCCACTCCAGCAGGAGCCTCCGCCATCCCCCCTGCCCGAGGAGCTGTCCCCTGGTGAGGGCGACAACCCAGCCTTCAACGGAGAGCTGGACCTGCAACGCTACTTCAATGGGCCGGGGCCCGCGCTGGGGGCAGGCGGGGGGCGCAAAGCCCGGCCCTACCCCTGCGCCGTCTGCGGCAAGCGCTTCCGCTTCAACAGCATCCTAGCGCTGCACACGCGGATCCACGCCAGCGAGACCCCCTTTACCTGCCCCTACTGTGGGCACCGCGCTGCCCAGCGCGGCCTCCTGCGGCTCCATCTCCGCTCCCACCGCCCCGAGGCCTGCGCCCGCCTCAGCCACCAGAGCCGCCTACTGCTGGAGCTGGAGGAGCGGGCGCTGCTGCGGCGGGGCCCGCCAGCCGCCAGCGAGGGGGAGGAAGAAGAGGAGGAAGAGGAGGAGGAGGAGCCCCCCCCACTGCCTATCCCCCCACCAGCTCCGCCCCCTGCCCCCCCGTCACCCCCACCGCCGCTGCCTCCCCCCAGCTTCCGCTGCCCCTTCTGCAAAGGCAAGTTCCGGACGGTGGGTGAGCGGGAGCGACACCTGCGGATCCTGCACCAGCCCTACAAGTGTGGGCAGTGCCCCTTTGCTGCCGCCCAGGAGGGGGAGCTGCAGCGGCACAGCCGGGAGGCCCACGCCCCGCCGGCACCCCCGGCCCCTGCCGCGCCGCCCCCCGCCGAGTTCCGCTGCCAGGTGTGCGGCCAGGCCTTCACCCAGTCCTGGTTCCTCAAGGGGCACATGCGCAAACACAAGGACTCCTTCGACCACAAGTGCCAGGTCTGCGGGCGCTGCTTCAAGGAGCCCTGGTTCCTCAAGAACCACATGAAGGTGCATCTCAGCAAGCTGGGGCTGAAGGGGGAGCGGGGTGCGGCCGTGCCGGCCGCCGGCGGGAAGCCCAAGGCGCCTCGGGGGCTGCTGCTGGGCTACGAGGCGCTGTACCCTGCCTTCCTGCCGCCCCCGGACAAGGCCGAGCAGGGCTCCTTCCTGGGCTACTTGGAGCTGCGCCCGCCGGGCGATGCCAGCTGCGCCGAGCGGCTCCAGGCCACGGCCCGCGCAATGGAGAGCGGGCAGGAGGCAGTTGCCCAGCTGTGGGGCGAGCGCCGGCGGCACAACGGGGGTGAGGCGGCCAGGGAGGAGGGTGGCGCCGGCGTGGGACAGCACCGCTGCCCCGACTGCGCCCGGGCCTTCGCCACCTACCAGCAGATGGCCCTGCACAGCCGCAGCCACCGGCCCCAGGATGGTGACTGGGCCAGGGGCCGGGCCCTGGGGGCGCTGGCCTCACTCCATGCGGCAGCGGGACACGGGCTGCCCACGGACGGCGGGGGCGGCTCCAACGTAGGCACCGGCTGGGGCACGGCCCTACCCAGCCCGGGGATACAGGGTGAGTATGGCTCCCCACCCCCACCACCCTCCTTACCCCACCTACATACCCCCAGCACCACGGCCCTGCCCAGCCCAGGGATACAGAGTGAATACAGCCCCCACAGCGCCCCCCACCACAGCATCCCCCCTTATCCTACCTATATACCCCTGGCACCACGGCCCTGCCCAGCCAGGGGATACAGGGTGACTACGGACCCCCCAGCTCCCACCCATATTCTGCGTCTCCCCCAGCCGCATGCACCCTGAGGCGCCCCCTCCTCCCCATGTCCCCCCAGCCCCAGAGGCCTGCATTCCCTGCCCCTCCCCCGAGCCCCCATCTCCTGGGCTCACGCTGTCCCTCCTGTCTGTGCAGAGGAGAAGGGGCTGCGCAGCGGGGCCCTGCGTCCGGATGGGGGCCGTGGCACGTCAGGCAAAGACTGTCCCTACTGCGGGAAAACCTTCCGCTCCTCCCACCATCTCAAGGTGCATCTGCGCGTCCACACAGGTGAGCTGGGCACTGGGGGGCCTGCAGGACAGAGCCCTCCCCAGGCTCTCTACGGCCCCTCTGGCTGGAGAGGAGAGGCAGAGGGGAGCCCATGCAGTGCAGGGCACCTCAGGAGCTGCACTCGGACTGGCAGCCCCACAGCACCAGCCTCCACTAGCCGTGCTGCCGGTGGGACTGCCTGTGCTGGCAGCAGCAGTAGGCTATTACCTTCCCTTGCCAAAGGGTTTCCTGAGACTCCCTAGGAGTGGGTTCCACCTTAGAGGTGGTTGCATCTGAGCAGGTCTCCAGATCACAAAGCCAGTGTCACATGGAGTGGACTTAGGGTGGGGCAGTGGGCTGGGCAGGGCAGGTGGTGCTGGAGGCTGCAGTAGAATAGGTATCCCTGGGTGGGTGTCTGCGTCCTGGCCACGCTGCGGGCTGGGCTGGACGGTCCTGACGGGCTCGCCTGGCCAGAGTGCCTGGCATGAGCTGGCTGCGAGGGCGCGACTGATATTTTAGTTGCATCAAAGAAAGTGGGTTTTGTGTGAAAACAAACATTTCACCCTAACATGGACTTTTTTTTAGAATTTTCCAGGTTTGTTTAAAGCCAAAAAATGGTGGGCTTCCAGTGTTCCTCACTTACTTCCAAATTATTAGGGGCAAAACCGGAAAAAGGGGAGATGGGGGATGGAAGCTGTTTGGTAAAAAGTGCCATGCCGGAGTCCGAAATGGGTTCTGCTGGAAACGCCCCAAGGGAGCTAGGCTGACGTGCCTGGGTGTGTCTGTCTGTCTGTCTGTCTGTCTGCATCAGTGTCTGTGGCTGTCTCTGCATCCGTCTGTCCTGCTGGCACAGGGGAGTGAAGTGGTGTGATCTCTGCC